ACATCATGCTTGGGAAGGTGGAGGCACAGTGCAGGAGAGGAAGATTCTCAGTGAAATGGATCAATTCAGTGATTGAGGTAATGGGAGTAGGTGTGTCAGACACAGTGGGGTTGGCATGGAATAGAGCAGAGTTTAGGGTTTTTTTACATAGGGTCACTATGAGTCTCAAGCGACTTGGCAGTACATAACAGCAACAACAGCAACTTTTGCCAGCATGTCGCTTTGATGGGATTTTGATGGCTGTGGTCCACTGGACCTGAGCAAGCCAGTGTTCTTTCATTTGTCTGGGATGCATGAAAGCTGGATGATAAAAAAGGAACACAGAAGAATTGACGCATTTGAGATTTGGACATGGGAAGATTATTGACTATACCATGGATTTCCATAAGAACGAACAAACCAGTCTTAGAAGAAACATTGCTTTAATGTTCCTTAGAATCAAAGATGGTGAGATTTTTTTTCAGTCATCAGGAAAGATCCACTACTGGAAGAGGAACTCTTATTTGAGAAAGTAAAGGTCCAGTGAACATAAGGGAAACCCTTCATAGGATGGATTGGCGTGGTGGCTGCAGTCACGGGCTCAAACACACCAAACCTTGTAAAGATAGCACAAGATGGGATAATGATATTTTTTGTTGTGTTTCTGTTATGTCTAAGGTCTCCATGTGTTGAACTCCTTGGCTGGTAACTAACAACAACCACATTGGGTCCTTCAACCTTCCACCTGTACTCTACTCTCAGCATGTTTCTTTCTGGCAGCAAGCCTGAATTTCTCTTTGTGATATTCACTTGGGTTCCATTGTCCACAGTAGCTGTCTACATGCTGAAAGCCTTTATTATACATGTTCTTAATGACCTTATACGAGATCTCACAGAAGCAGTTGTTTTTGAGTTTGGGACAACTGCTCATTTTGGCTTGAAGCAATTGTTGTTGCACCAAGTTTTAGTGATTAATGTCTAGTGATCAGCTTTGTGATTTTGAAGCTCTTAGAAAGATGTTTCCTCTTCACCTTCTCTGATTACTGAGATTATTGGGATCACAGAACACATGGAAACACATTTTTAGAACTATCCTAAAGGCATACTGTTAATTTCACTCAGGGTTGGACTACCCAATAAACAAGGTAAGCCTGTGTTTATGTCTCCTTCCTCATCTATAGAGCATAACTTCTTATTGTTCATCACATTTAAGATTTGCTGGCATTTGTCCCTCTGCCAGCCCTGCAATGCATTTCAATAGATTTAATTCCTGTTAGGGATGGAAAGAACCCTGCTGGTTCATTGGTCTAAGAACTCAGCTACAACCTTGTTCACTGAAACTGAGGAGGGTATGAAACATTTGCTGCCGAAAGTCAAGGACTTCAATATGAACTGCAGCTCAACATCAAGAAAATATATTGTTACCGCAGGGCCAATTGGCAACATCATGATAGATGGAGAAGAAATTGAGGTTGTTAACACCTTCACCTTGCTTGGGTCCACAATCAACGCTCTAGGCATGAGCAGTCAGGAAAGAAAAGATGAGTTGCTTTGGAAAAGTCTGCTCGCAGGACTGCTCCAGAGTGCTAAGGAGCAACAATGTCAGTTTAGAGGCTAAGGTGTGCCTGGTCCAAGCCATGGTCGTCTCACTTACTTGCTGTGTATCTGAGAGCTGCACAGAAGATGACTCAAAGCCTTTGAGTTGTGGTGCTGGAGAAGAGTCTTGAGCATACCATGGACTGCCAACAGAACAAGCAGGTCAGCCCTGGAGGCGGTGAAACCAGGTTGCTCTTTGGAGGCAAAGATTGTAAAGCTCCAGATCACATACTTTGAGCATGCTACCAGTAGGGACCAGTCCTTCTGAAGAAGGAAGTCATGTTTGGAAGGGTGGAGGGACATCACAGGAGAGGGAGACCCTGGATGAGATGGTGTGGCAATAAGGGTGGTTGTGTCAGAGACAGTGCAAGATAGGGCAGGATTCAGAACTATTGTTCATAGGGTGACTATGAGTCATAGTCAAGTCGATGGTACATAACAAAACCAACAACAACAGCTAACAAAAATGTGATTTGAGGCCTCCCAGCTGTTCTCTGGGAAAAAGTTGTGGCAGTCTGCTTCTATAAAGGTGTATAGACCTGGAAACCCTACGGGACAGCTCTTCTGATGGTGATGTTGTGAGTTGGAGTCCAGTCAGTGTAGCGCAGTGGGTTTTATTGTGAAGAGGCAGAAGCAAGGGAAGCAGCAAACAGAAAGCACACTTGCTTATTAATTTGCCTTGAGTAGTTCCACATTTTGTGGTAAAACCGAGGTAAAATTGTTCGTTACAGATTGTTGTTGTTGTTTAATGCCGTCGAGTCGTATGCGACTCATAGCGACCCTATGAACGAACAGCCTGAGCACTGTTCGTACATAGAGTTTCCAGAGGCAAGCCATTTTGGAAGTGGATGCTGCTCCTGCTTCCAGGCTTGATTTAGTCGGGAAGCTCCAGCCAACACTGTCCACCATGGGTGCCCATTACCACGATTGGCACATCATTGTCACAGGCTTCAGCATCACAGCAACCACGAGTTACCTCTGTACAGCAATGCACAGACCAGTGCTATTACCACCTAGAAGAACATTGTAAATTAATACTGTACTTAGTTGCTTTATTGGATAATCCATCTTGGACTTGACTCACGTAGTTTCAGAGTCTGAAGCTGTCATTTTCTGGTTATGAGTATTCAGAACTGTATTAGACATTAATGTAAACTTTATGCTTTTGTGCACATAGTAATGGCATAGAAGAAGTATCAGAAAAAAAGAGCTCCCCTGATTTGAGGGTAAATGTTGGTTAAAGACCCACTTGTTTTTAAAATGGGTATTGTAGCAACTGGGAATTTTGTTTCATTCTAATAAGATGACATATATTGAAGCCTTTTATAAGACCTGGACTTCTCCCTTAAGAAGGATGAGAAAGTGAAACTAGATTTTGTTGGTGCAAACACCTCTGGTTTAGTGCCTACTATGTATCACTCTAGCAGGTGCTGGGATGTGTTCTGCTAAGATTCCTTTGGAATTCCTACACTGTTGTCCTTGGGTTCCCAGCACTTTTTGCTAATGATAAATTTCTTCTAGCCTCTGAGGAGGGAATAGTTGAAATCAGAACCAGAGAATTTTCCTAGGTAGTAGTAATGTTTTCTTGCTGCTGCTTTACTCTTTATTTATAAAATTATACTTCTTTAGGTACTTAACAGAAAATTTTCCCTTTACCATTCCCAAGCTCATCTCTCTTCTATGTAGTCAGAATTTCAGTTGTTCAAATTATATCTGAATTCTAAATTTCTGGGAGAAGGAATGTGATTGGCTCACTTAGGTCACTTGTTGAACCTGGACCCTGGTAAACAGTCAAGTGTAATAGGAATACTGGAACTTTTCTGTCAGGGACCTCTCCAGAGTGCTAAAGAGCAATGATGTTAGTCTAGAGACTAAGGTACACCTGGTCAAGGCCATGGTCTTTGTTTACTGTGCATCAAAGATCTGGACAATGAAAAAGATTGACAGAAGAAGAATCGATGCTTTGAGTTGTGATGCAGGAAAGGTGCATTGAATTTACTGTGCACTGCCAAGAAAACAGTCTGTCTTGGAGAGAGTGAAACCAAGTTACTCCTTTGAGGCAAGGATTTTGTAGCTCCATCTCGCATCCTTTGGGCATGCTGCCAGGAAGGAGCAATCCTTGAGGAATGACATCATGTTTGGAAGGGTGGAGGGACAGCACAGGAGAGGGAGACTCTGGATGAGATGGATTGACACAATAACTAGGGTAATGGGGGTAGGTGAGTTGGAGTCGGTGAAACTGGCTAAGGATAGGGTAGGGTTCAGAACTATTGTGCACAGAGTTGCTGTGAGTCACAGTTGACTCGATGGCACAAAGTAGCAACAACTTGGACAATGAGGGTCCACTCCTGTCTAGGGGAAAGAGAAGAGGCAGTCATCATATGAATAAGATTGACAAGATTCTTGACCTCATAGGTCTTGTGGTCTAGCAGGAAAGAAAGCTATTACATTGCTTTCATAACAATTACATAATCAATCCACTATTTCAGATTGAAATAAACTGTGACATGAGCTTTGTGAAAACTAGACCTAAGCTTTAGCAGAAGATCCTGGAAATATCTGAGGAAGGATGTTGTTAGGTACCATCGAGGAAAGTACAGTGTGTAGGACCCTAAAGATGACAGACAGTCCTGTCCTATCCTCTGCAATCCTCGTCGTCTCTGATGCACTTGAACCCATTGCTGCAGGCACCGGTGTCACTGAGGGTCAGTCGCCTATGCTGCAGTCAAAGTGTCACCCCATCTATCTATCCACTGGAAAGGTAGATAGAGGCTAATCAAAGGGAACGGAGGTGCGGGCATGGATCCTGGCAGGAAAAGAGTGGGAGGTGGGAGAGAATGTAGACAGAGGTAACTGCATGTTGAAAAAAATCCAGAGACAAGACAAAGTGTAGCCATTAATTATGTGGAGCAAACACATCTTTAAGAATTTTACAATAACAGCTTGATCGTTGGCTTCGATAATGTTTTTGAAGGCAGGGAGTGCCTTTTCCTTTGCCATTGGAATGGTTTGGCAGGTGAACAGCTTACATGGTAGGGCACCTTTAGTTTCGTTAGGTACTTTCTTGATGTTTCCTTTCTAGCCCATAGTAGGAAATATTAGTGCATGTCTTATACCCTCTCATCCTTCACTAGGGTAAGATAGATTGTACACCTCCCATGGAGTATTTTTTCTCCCTCTCCTGAATGGCAAAAAAGTAAGACAAGGAAAGATACTGTGGTTCTTGAAAGGATCAATTCTTTTTTGCCAATTTTTCTTTCCTAACATAGGTATAAATTTGTTTTCATTCTCCCCTCCCATTCCGTGAACAGATGTTTTAATGGGCACCATTTGGATATACTTTTATTTTGAAAATTTGAAAACAGAGAGCAGTATGAGAACAATAAACCACCATTATTGATTCTAATATATATTTAATTTGGCAGAACTTGAGAGAAACTTGCTGGGATCTGGCGGGGCACTTCTTTGATCTCCCAGACTTCTTATCGTGGAAAGCAACAGGTGTCACAGCCCGGTATGTTAATTACAAGTTAGATCTTATTTGCACTCATCCATTCTTGAGTGTCTGTGTATATATTGCTTTCTTAACTCTCTCAGACTGTTTGTCAAAGATATACTGTTTGTACATCTGCATATGATTTTGCATCCTTGAAACATCTTGAATTGATCTTCCATCTCTATTGCACATGCCCAAACATCATTGTTTCTCTGTGAAGTGAAATGTGTCTATCCAGTGTGAAGACCATTCATTAAGAGTAAACACATTGAAGGAGATGTGGAATAATGCAGGGTGAAATCGTGACTGTTTCTGTGAAGAAATTCTTTACATGTTACATTAAACAGGAAATATTTGATTTGGCTCTAACCTTCAGATGGAAGATAGTGTTTCTCAAGGAAGTTGACTGTAACTGGATGGGTGTGTTACGAATTTATTTTGTTTTTATGTAAATGCGCCTAGATCTTTCCCTATTATAGGGGAATATAGGCTCAATTCATCAACTATTTTTAATAAATTATGAATGTTATAAATAAAAGATGTGCTACATTACTAAGATTTAAAAATACTCATTGAGTGTGAAATTGCAACTGCTATAATTAGTAGAGTGGGGGTGTGTATGGGTATATATAGATTAAGTTGGATGTAAAATATTAAAATTTGGCAATCCTATTTTCATGTTTTTCTTAGGTTTCAGGAATTTGCAAGGTGCAGTAGTCATTTTTCTTTTTCTTTTTTTTAAAATTTAAAATCTGAAGTGAACAAGCCTGTGAGGGAGAGGATCATTTCGCAGATGACAGATAAACTTACATAAATGTATATATTTAGAGGAATGTGTGTTCTATCTTAATGTCAACTTGTTGGGAGATGACTAAGATCTCTCTCTCTCTCTTTTTTTTTTTTCTTCTTCATTATTTAAACTCAGGAAAACCAGGGATATTGTTGTTGTTTGGTGCCATCAAATAGACTATGAATCAGCAATCCTGTGAACAGCAGACCTGAACCCTGCCTTATCCTGTGCTGTTCTCACCATCCCTGCAATACTCAATCTCATTGATCCAGGCCCTGTATCAGTCTTTCCTGTTGAGGGTTTTCTTTTCATTCACTTTTCCTCCCCCCTTCCAAGCAAGATGTCCTTTTCAAGGGACTGGTCTCTCCTACCAACATGCCCAAAATATGTGAGACAGAGTTCCATCATCTGTCTTTCAAAGGGGTACCATGGCTATACATTCTCCAAGACATATTTGTTCTTTTGACAGTCCACAAGCTACTCGGTATCTCCTCCAAGACCATCACTCAAAGATATGAATTCTTCTATGGCCATCCTTAGTCAATGTCCAGCTTTCAGATGTATAAGATGCAAGTGCAAAGACCAGAGGTAGACTTTCCTCAGACTGACATATCTGCTCCTCAGTACCTTGGAAAGGTCCCTGTCTGCAGACTTCCCTAACACAACATTTTTTTTAAAAAAAATTATTTCTTAACTGCTTTTGCCAAGGGTATTAATTATGACTCTTAGGGAAATGGAATAATTAACCACTTCAGTCTTCTCTCCGTCTAACGTGATGTTACCTATTGGCCCTGCACTGAAGATTTTTTTCTTTCTTGGTGGTGAGATATAATCCATATTGAAGGCTGTAGTCCTTCTGCAATAAGTGCCTCAGTTCCTCATTGTTTTGAGCAAGTGAAGTTCTGTCATCTGTAAAGTGACAGGAACACCATTTTCACTGTCTTCCTGCCTCTCTCATTTTGTGGGGTTTACTTATAATAAGATTTTTACTTATAGTGAGTTGATAAGGGTGATATTTCAGTAGCAAGAGATGTCAGAAAGGAAATGGTATTTCTTGGGCACATAATTCTTCATGGCAATGATTATCCCCATGAAATGATCATTAGCTTCATGTCTCAGTGTGGATGAAAATGACCGAAGCAAACTCAGGCGTCCATTCTTTCAGCCTTCTGTGGGGGTGACGGCTCTAGAGGTTTGGTGTAAATTTTACCCTAATAGTGGCAGGTGGCAATCAATATATAGGTGCTAGTCACACTTTGAATATTACTCTCTTGCTATGGTATTGATTTTTCAAAATTATTTTTGGAAGGAGCTTCCTTTAGTTTATTTATTTAATTTGTACCTCTGTGCAAGAATGGAAGGAATAAAATTATTACTTAAAACTCCCATGGTTTGATTATTTTAGCCAAAGGGACCTATTAGTCAAAACATTACTAACAGTTGCCAATGACAATTCAATAATGAAACTAAGAGTGTAAGAGAACCTTGCTTTTCTTAGTTTCTCTAGGCAGTATCCAGCCCAGCACTTTGATTTCCTGCTTGGCTCTTTTTGATGCTTTGGCGAGGGCAGGGGCCCTGATGGCAGACTGGTTAAACTGCTCAGCTTCCAACTGTCTGCCTGGTGGTTTTAACCCACCAGCGGCTCTGAAGGAGAAAGATGTGGTGGTCTGCTTCCATAAAGGCAGCCTTGGAAACCCTGTGAGACAATTCTGCTCTATATGCTTGATGTCTGTCAGAATTGAGTCAGTGTCAGTGGGTCTGTAGAGTACACACCCTCATTTTCTCATATCACTACTCAGAGACCAAGAAGTGGGCTTTTGAAGCCAGCTCTGGCTTAGGCAGGTTTAAATGCAATGATGTGTATATACTCAAGAGTCAGAATGTTCAGTGTAGACCTTGATTTTGCCACATACTAGTTGTGTAATCTTAAGCATATTGATTTACTTATTTGGATCACAATCTTTGTCAGCAAAATGGGTCTCTTGATACCAAACTCGCAAAGTTAAGAGAATAATACAGTGAAACCTGTATACGGTGGAAACATATCAGAGATGGAAAAAAATCATATATTTTCCAACAAAACGAGAGATAGAAAGGTCGTAAGGCTGCATCCTGTCACAGCAAAAATCTTTTAAGATCCAGAAAAACAAACCAGTCCATTGATTTCCTGCTCTCCCAGAGTTCATTGTTTTACAAAAATCTTTTCCTCCAGAGTAGTGTAGGGGGAATCACATAAGCTATTTAAACACAGATCATCAGTTCTTCTGACTTTATGCATACTGAACTAGAGTGTCTAGTGGAGACATGGGAATTATTATGTTTATCGAGAACATCAAGATATATGGTCAAATAATTTGGACACTACCTAACAGATTATTCATGAAGTAGTATGTGACTCTCAGGTATTTTATATGTATGAGGAAGTGGAATTGTTTTAAAGGGCCTCAGAAGTTTGATAGCAACTCTGGTGGCCTAGTGGTAAAGAGCTGCATTGCTAGCCTGAAGGCATATGGTTTGAATGCACCAGCTGCTCTGCAAAAGAAAGGTGGGCAGTCTCCTCTCTGGTGATTTACTGCCTCTTAAAACCCATTGGTCGTGGTTGCTGTGATGCTGAAGACTATGACAGTGATGTGCCAATCGTGGTAACGGGTACCCATGGTGGACAGTGTTGGCTGGAGCTTCCCGACTAAATCAAGCCTGGAAGCAGGAGCGGCATCCACTTCCAAAATGGCTTGCCTCCGGAAACTCTATGCACAAACAGTGCTCAGGCCGTTCGCTCACAGGGTCGCTATGAGTCGTCTAGGACTCGACGGCCTCAGACAGCAACAACAACAAAACCTATTGGAGGGCCATCTATGGGTGGTTGCAACTCAATGGTACATAACAGCAACAAACAATGAGTTAGTAAGGAGCTCTGGTAGCATAAAAGTAAAATGTTTGCCTGCTAACTGAAAAATAGGCAGTTCAGACACACCCAAGGGCTCAATGGATAAAAGACCTGGTTTTATACCTCAGTAAATAGTGTTGTCGAGAGTTGGAACCAACTCACAGCTGACCCTCCAGCAGGTTTTCAGAGGCTGTAAATCACTTGGGAGGAGATGGACGATTTTTTCCCGTTGAAGTAGCTGGTGGATTAAAAATGTGCACCTTTGGAATAGTAGCACAGCTGTTTACCATAAAGTCAGCAGAGCTCATCAGTCAATAACAGTAATATTGTAGCCTAGGAAATCCTAGGTACAGTTACTGTATTCTGTCACACAGAGTTGACTCAACAGCCCCTAACAACAGCTTCAGCAATTAACTTGTTCAGCAGTGAATTTAAAAATACAGAGCTTCTTGTTGACCTATCAGAAATGCTTGGGAACATCAGTTTCTGCTCATGATATCGTACACCTTTAGGATGCAGAATGCTTAAATGACTCTTGGCTCTCCTGTCATCGCTGCCATTGAATTATTATTGGCTGTGATGCTTATGATTCTACCATCATTAGTACAGATTTATAATCCCCAGTTGGTACTTATGACACATTCAGAAGCCACCTGCTATTTTCTTGCTTTCCGGTCCTTGCCTGCTAGAGCAGAACCTATCAACCTTAGACACTGAGACACTGAGTGTTCTCACAAAGCTCAGATGTTTTCCCCTTTGAATGTTGTACATCTTTCTTCAGTTGTTTCCATGATCTCTCATTTCTCTGCGATCAAATGAAGCTAGTAACTTCTCTTAAGTGTTCTTCACTTATAAAATGAAGAAAAAGACTGCTTATTCTATGGGGTTCTTATGTGGATTAAAGAAGGTAACAGAAGAAGTCTCTAGTGGTGCAAATGGCTAAGCACTTGATTAGCTAAAAGGTTGTTGGTGTAAACCCACCCAAAGGGACCTTGGAAGACAAGCTTGGTGACCTGTTCCTGGAAGGTCACAGCTTTGGGAACTCTAAGGAGTAAGTCTGTTCTGCACACTTGGGTCAGGTTACCATGAGTCATAATTGACTCAGTAGCAGCTGATGATAATAGAAAAACTTCCAATGCCATGCTGGGGGGCGGGGAGGGGAAGAAATAATAATTAGCTGTTCCACTTTCCCTTTGTAAATTTTGGCAGTAATTCAATAGAAAATGTCTGATATAGTAGAAAGATGGACGTCCTTGTTCTAATGAATGAGGTTAGATGTCTCTACCCTGTACTAACTTTGAGAACCTTGACCAAACCATTCACCCACGTGAGCCTCAATTT